ATTCATTGTGTAGCTCGTCCCAGTTTCAACTGTTTCAAGGGGTATCATTATATCAAGAGTAATAGCGGACTTTTCATCACTTCACTGAGTTCTAGAGGAACTCAACACTATACCCTCTGAAACAGTGTAAAAGTTTCATACTATTCTGCACGTGTGCAGAAAACCAAAGTTTCTGACAGTTCCACTGGAGTAATGGCAGATTGTTTTGCCAACATTATGAACTCAGTAGCGCAGGTTTAACATTGACAACTAAAAATCATGAAAATATTTCACTATTCCAAAGCTTTTTTTAAATGATAAAGTATATGTTCACATAGAATCATACCATAAACTACTATTACAAAAAAAAAGAAATAGCTTTCTTCTCATGATATTTGAAGATGACAAGATGGACAGGTGAACACAGGCCTCTTCCAACCTAGTCTCCTGTACCTGTTGCTCCCAATGTGGTTTCCTCTACATCGGTGTGGCCAAACATAGACTCGGTGATAGATTTGTGGAGCACGTTGGTCCCATACGCGATAATCAACAACATCTTCCGGTTGCCACCTATTTTAACTCCCCCTCCCACTCCCTTGGTGACATGTCCATCCTGGGCCTCCTCCAGTGCCACAATGGCACCACCTGCAAACTGGAGGAGCAACACTTCATATTGCGCCTCGGGAGCCTACAGCCTGATGGCCTGAACATACAATTCACCAGCTTTAAAATCTCCCCACCCTCGGCTGCATCCCATGTCCAACCCTCCCTCTCATCCCCACCTTCTTGACTTGACACAACCTGTCCATCTTCTTCTCCAACTATCCGCCCCACCCCTCCCACTGACCAATCCCCACTACCCCTACCTGCATTCACCTATCACCATCCCACCTACCTTCCTCCAGGCCCTTGACTCTTCCTTCTATTTGCCAGCTCCCTTCCCCCTCCCCTGTCCTGAAGGAGGATCTAGGCCCGAAACATCGACTCTCCTAATCCTCTGATACTGCCTGACCTGCTGTGTTCCTCCAGCTCTATGCTGTATCAACTTGTCAGTCAATTAGGGGCAGCATGGTGGCTCAGTGGTTAGCACTGCAGCCTCACAGTGCTAGGGACCCAGGTTCGATTCCACTCTCAGGCAACTGTCTGTAAGGAGTTTGCACATTCTCCCCATGTCAGCGTAGGTTTCCTCCAGGTGCTCTGCTTTCCTCCCACAATCCAAAGATGTGCAGGCTAAGTGGATTGGCCATGCTAAATTGCCCGTAGTGTTCAGGGATGCGTAGATTAGGTGAGTTATAGGGGAATGGGTCTAGGTGGGATGCTCCAAGAGTCAGTGTGGACTTGTTGGGCCGAAGGGCCTGTTTCCACACTATAGGGATTCTATGATTATCAGGATGTTGCTGGGAATAGAAGGTTTGAGTACTTGTATTACAGGACAGACTGCGACTTTTTGCACTGGAGCATAGGAGGTTGAGGGGTGACCTTATAGGGGTTTAAGAATCATGAGGCACAGAGAAAAGGTGAATAGCAATAGTCTTTTCCCTGGGATGAGAGAGTTCAAAAGTAGGGGGCCACATTCTTAGCGTGAGAGGAGAAAGTTTTGAAAGCGACATAAAGGGCATATTTAACACAGAGTGGTTCATGTGCGGAATGAACTGCCAGAGGAAGTGGTGGATGCAGGTACAGTTACAATGTTTAAAAGACATCTAGGTAAGTTCGTGCATAGAAAAGGTTTGGGGGGTATGGGGCAAACACGAGCAAGTGGGACTAGTTTAGTTTGGAAAGATGGTCGGCATGGACTAGTTAGACCGAAGGGGTCTGTTTCCATGCTGTATGCCTCTATGGCTCAATCTGCAGTTCTTTCTTTTTTTTTTAAATTTAAGAATTACTTTGTACTTGTGTTACCCTTCAGTAGCTCTACCATGCTATGAGTTTTTGGCTTAGCTAACAAATCTTTCTGGAATGTTTCCATAAAACTGGATGGAATACCCATCTCACCAATTCTGTTTGCTAAATCCCCAAATGAAAATTCATATTATGAGCCCTTTACACTGCATCTACTGTCAAAGTGGTCCAAGAATTCTATAGGCCTCTATCTAAATAATGTGAATTCTAGTCGATAAATACTTAAACTTAATCAGACTCTGATCTGGTCTTCTACTGTGGTTTATTTCTTTTGGGGATCTTGCTGATAGTCTTGTTAATTCTGATGTGTTAAGTCTGTGCAGTCATAAAGTCATGGAGAAGTACAGCACTGAAACAGACCCTTTGTTCCAACTCATCCATGCTGACCAGATATCCTAAATAAACCCATTTGCTAGCATTTGGCCCATATCCCCCTAAACCCTTCCCATTCATTTACCCACTCAAATGCCTTTTAAATGTTGTAACTGTACCAACCTCCACCACTTCCTCTGGCAGCTAATTCCATACACACACCACCCTCTGCATGAAAAAGTTGCCCCTTAGGTCCCTTTTAAATCTTTCCCCTCTCACCGTAAACCTATGCCCTCTGGTTTTTGGCTCACCCACCCCGGGGAAAAGACCTCGTCTATTTACCCTATCCATGCCCCTCATGATTTTATAAAACTCTGTAAGGTCAGCCCTCAGCCTCCGACACTCCAGGGAAAACAGCCTCAGCCTATTCAGCCTCTCCCTATAGCTCAGACACTCCAACCCTGGCAACATCCTTGTAAATCTTTTCTGAACCCTTTCAAGTTTCACAACATCCTTCCCAAAGCAGGGAGGCCAGAACTGAATGTCCTTAGACTCCAGCTGCTGAACAAGTCTTATTGACTGTTTTTCACATTGGACTTACCTAAAACTGTAAATAAAAGCTCTCAATGCTGTTTAAATATTTTAAATTCAATTAGGAGGTTTGTTGTGCCCCAATTTAAAATTAGGTATTTTCTTGACATTCTTATATGCCTTTCACTTTCCCTTACTTTGCTATGAACCTAGTCCACACCCTAATCACTTGTCTTTTTCATGCCAAACTGACCTCTTGATGGGGATTTGTCTGCTTACCAGAACGCTGTATTTTCAACACTCTTTAACACTAACAAAGACATCAAGGGTTTACTCATGCATTTTAGCATTCTTTAAGACTGTCAGTCATGTATAGATTAGTTTGTTCACTGATTGTTCAGGCATGATAGTTCTCATCAGCAAAGGTTTCCACAGGCACCAAAATTCATATTAATGGTATCGGTCTAATAATCAAATCGCTCATTAGGGATGCGCTCATCTCCCAGTTACTCAATCACTTTTCCCAATTCACCATCTCACTGAGCTTCACATGGCTGCACTCGAGCATCTAATCACTGGGACATTTTGAGCTCTCTGTGCTCTGGGCAAAACCTGACTGCACATGGTCTACATGGCTGCAAGTACATGAAGCCAGGCTATAGCATCACTTCAGCATCATGAAGCTGTCTCCTCTAACTCCCACTTTCTCAATGATCAAAATTTACTGACCTGTGACTGCTGCTCACATATCCTTGAACTAGTTTGAATGATCTGTTAAAAAAACTAGGAAAGAGCCCCAGCCTTGTTCCTAGGCATGATCAGACGTAAACAACATTGAAACAAATTCTGTTCATAGATTACAATCAAGAGGTTGCCAGCTCACATGGCACAAGTGGGCACAAAAATAGATTTTAACACAATGTAGATTCAAATTAAATGGGCATTACGGAAATGAAATATAGAATATATTAAGTTTTATCCATATTAGAAAGAACTGTTCACTCTAATTTCCAAAAGAATTTGCTTCTAGGCGAAATGACTTTCTGATTCCAGCTCATTTTTGATCAAAAGAATTGTTCCAGATGTTTGCCTTCAAACCGCTACAAGCTCCCGATCATCACCGCTAATGTCGACTGCTCAGAAAAGTATTCTATACTCCTAGAAGATACTGCCCTGACCAGGTTTTATGTAGTTTGTACCAGTTGGTGGGTGACTCTCCTCCAGTAAGAATGACCATCTGCCTTTGCACGTCACCTCGTCCTTTGTCCACTACTGTAGGTAATTATCACCCTTTCCTGAAGTTCCTCCTGCTCAATGAAGAAACAAGCAAATGGACTCAGCTTTTTTTACTGCCTGGTTGAGCTGATGGGCAATCCACAACCTTATAGACATAGCATAAAAATTTAGACAAATGTCCTCAATGTCATCAAAGGTGAATCTGCATATTTGAGAAAAAGGATCCCTGTGTCTTGCATCAAGAGTTCCTCTAGCCTGTTGAAAAAGACAAGTTACAATTGCAATCCACAGGATAAATGGTGGGAAAAATAATTTTCACTATTCAGTTGCTCAGCAGGCAGATTGAAATTTATTCCTCATGTTCAGGTTGTGTTCTATTGTCAAAAGAACAGTAACCAGCAACAGTAAAAGTCAGCTTCCAATTCCCAATGCAACTTATGAACATTTCCAAGGACAAACAAGAGATGTCCTTTACCAACACCTCCAGTACCATTAGACCCTGTGCACGTGTAAGTATGAGAGCTCCAAAACCTCTCTCCAACCCAAATCCCCAATCACTTACAAGTGCACCACAAGTTCCACTGTCACATCCCACATTGCAGAATATTCCCTTCTGCCCCCATTCTCCTGTATTTGCCCTCAGGCCAAAGATAACTTGCCTGTTGGCTACTGAAACAAGACTTCTATCTTACTTCTCTTACAGCACACCTGACATGAGGTTCACCATCAAGGCCCAATACACTCTCACTTTTACATTTACACGCATGCTAAGTAACTAAGGATGGGAGAACTGACCAAAAATGGACGATTGATCTTGTAACACAAATAATTTGATACTACTTTACCATAGTAACATTTCACTGGGATTTTTTCATTAAAAAGTTGGAACTACCTGATGCTTTTGTAACAAAAATCATTTAAAAATAGTGCACATACAAAATTTAATTTGGTGCAGTCATGAAGTACAGTTATGATTATGCTCAAAGTCATGCAGAACAACTGTTTGACCAACTGGAGTTACAGATTACCAATAAACTCACCGGTATCTTTCCTTTAAATGGTGGTATCCAGTACACTTCAGTTCCTCAATTATCTCTGTCCAATCATTAAAGAAAGCATTTCTTCTGCAAAACAAAATGCAAAAACTTAATGGGAAAAAAAATCAGTGATCACTACTGTTCAGCTGGTATTCCCCAAGGTTTTATTTACATCAATTAACTACATTTCCAAACTTAATACAGTTCTTTTGTTCCAATTTAAAAGCCAAATTTTTACACTTGAATTATGACATGGGGTATATGCAGTACTTCCTGGGAAAAACAGCTGGAGTAAAACACAGTGGCAGGTTTACAAGTATTCTAATCAAGAACAGATGGTTCAGGCTGTTTTTGATGATTGCTTCCTAGATTCATGTTATTACAAGGTACCAACAATTTGTAAACATTGGCTATGACTAAAAGAGAAAGACCTTTAATAAAAGTTTCAAATGGGGGAAAAGTAACTCCTGTTTGGTTTTTATCTTCACATAATTACAGGCCATTTTTACCCTGCCCATTCAGGCTTTGGATAGTTAAAATCAGGTTGGAATCTGAATTACAGTACCCCAGGCCACAACGTTCTGCAGACACCCTCTGTTCAGTCTGAAGACATGACACCAAGCTTTCAGTGGCCTACCATTTTAATCCTCCGCCTTGCTCTCTAACTGACATCTCTGTCCTTGGACTGTTACATTATTCCTGAGAAATGCATGTAACCTCAACGAACAGCACTTCATCTTTCAGTTAGGGTCTTTACAGCTTTCTGGGCTCAAGAATGAGTCCAATAATTTTGGATCATAAACTCTATATCATTTTATTTTATTTTCTTTGCATGTTTTGTTTTTTTTATTCTTATTTTTGCTGTTAGACAGCAGACTAACTCTAGGAACATAGTTGGTTTCTTATTCGACTCCACTACACATCCCCCCCCACCCCCACACACTGCTTTGGCCCTGTTTGACTAAACCTTCTGTCATTCAGTCTCTCCCATATTCCACCTTATCACAAGCCTTCCTTTGACATTGTTCCACCCACCCCTTGTTCAAAATCTATTACATCTCTAACTTTTCGCAGTTCTGATAAAAAGGGCATCAACCTGAAATGTTAACCCTTATTTCTCTTTCCATAAATGTTGCTTGATCTGTTGTGTAATTCTATCATTTTCTGTTTGTGAAGTGATTCTAACAGTAATACAGCAAATTTTGACGATTCTACTAAAATAAGGACTTCTCTGGTCAGAATGACTTCCAATGCTAAATTCCTCAGTCTACAAGAGATAAACAACCCAGGATTAACACCACAGATGATGTCACTTTCATGCTGTGGTCCCCATCCCAAAATCTGAAACAGGTTCAATCTTAGGAGGGATGGAAGGCAAAAGTATTTCAGTGATGCACATACTTTGACACAGCAGCCTGCCAGTAATTGAAAAGTTAAGCATGTAGTACCATTATTTTTCTTTTCACTACGTGTCTATTGATTACAGCTTTCTCCTGTTCAAAACAAAGTTTCTGTATCATCACCAATGAAGGAAAATAATTACAGGATTGCAATGGCACATAAATGCAAAGGAGAATTAAAGTTATTTATTGTGATTGACATAATAGCTGATACAAAATAATTGACTGAATGCTAGCTCATATGATACAGTACCAATATTTTAATATACAATAAATTGCACCTTCTTTTCAGTTCTGCAATCTGATCTTGGATTCCAGATTAATGCAATGACTCCACCTTGTTCAATCCAAGCTGACTATAGGTATCTCCTTTAAATGGTCTGAGAGGACTCAGTGTAACACTTTCGCTCTGATAAAAAAAAAACATTAATATGAAACATTCAGTCTGTGTCCGTCTCCACAGGTGCCAATATACAGCATAAAACTGATCATAACTCAATGTACACTGTCCGTTAATACTTAAGGACATCTGCAGTGGTGATATATGTTGTTCTTTGACCCTTACATAATGCTAAAGCTCAGCAACTAGAAATTACAGCCATACTACACTGTGCCTTGAAATACCCATTACTGTCATGAAAGTTCGTTTTGAAACACTGAAATCTCCCATGGACTAAAAACAGCTCACCAAAATACATACATTAAATCCAAAATAGGGTAATTGTGGTTCTTAACTTACCTATTATTTGAAAGAAACACAGAGGAAGCTGACAGAAAGTCACCTGTTAAATACGTTGAGCATAATTTCAGGTAAATTTAAGTCTTTGTTGAAGTAATGCAACCGATTTCTAATTGTTGGAAGGAACTTGAAATTTAAGCAAGTAAAATTAGGAAAATATTTTAGACATCACCATACTCACTTAACAGATGATGGACATTTTAAACAACCAATTTCACATTATGAGGAATATTAATCATGTGCTTTCAAATAAGGTATTATTTTATTGCCCTCATCCTGTGAATAAACAAAAAAACACACTATACCAAGAAACAAACTATGCCAGCCAACAACAACAATGTGTCAAATTTATAGCAAGTTTTGATATATTTAAAAGAATTCGGAAATTACTCATATTATCTCATTAAATATACCATTCACTTTAAACTACCAGGACCAGTTAATGTCATTTTATAGCCTGCAAACATAGGTTATTCACTGAGTTAACTCACCAAAGATCAATTAACAAGTGCTAACATAATCCACACTGCAAACATTTTCTGAGGTTTAATGATAAGCAGATGAAAGTTCATTCACATGATTGATCACCTTGCTCTGTGTGCATACCATGATCAGTACACATTAAATCACTTTAAGGGTATATTTCACAAATTGTGCCTTCAGGGTTTGATTCAGTGACTGTGGCTTTTTGTAACAAACCAGGAAAATAAAACTATTTACTCAAGATGCAGAAAAAATACTATTGATGTATTTTGTTGCTCATTGTTTCAAAATATAAAGTAATTTAAATTTGAACTTTTAAAAAGGTAAACAGGCCTACCTTTTTTCATAATATTCTTCATTGTCCATCAGTCTTTGTAGATGCACTGAAAATTAACTTGTGAAACTCAAAATGTTCAACTCAAAATGATTAATTGTGCTGTCAATGTGCCTTAGTGATCCTGGGAGTGGTGTGAAAACAATTCTTGGTAATAGCAAACACCAGAAAAATCCATTGTGCTCAGCCAAACATTTCCATGTTAATGTAATTAGTTCATGCAGCTTAAGTTAAGTGATCCACTGCATTTACACAATTCTTAAAGACCACAAGAATTCCGATCTGATCTTAACACTTCTTTTAATTTGGAAGTAAAATAGTTCAACAGAAATTTAGCATTTTTTTTCAAAAAGACAAATATATTACTTAAAAGTAAAATTCGGTGAAATAAATTTCCTATGATTCATGTGGTCTTCAACAGACAATGCACAGACAGAGGAACAGATTTTGTATCGGTACCTTTACTTAACATAAGATGTATTGAACTTGAATTAATTCAGGTAGTAGAAGATCAAGAAAGCCTAACATCCCCTCAGTCTGCACAGACCTTCAGAGATTAAGAGATGGGAAAACAAGTAAATACAACTTTTGAAAGAAAGGCATGATTATTGCAGTTTTAAACATTTTCTGATTTGAATCAAGTTGTGATGGTCACATTCATATGATGCATGGTGTGTTTTTGTGCATGTCCATGTGTATGTCACAAGCATTCACACAGCCTCACGTGCACTTCCAGAATCTATGTGAAATAAAATGATTCCCACTTTCTGAGAACACATTAACACATTTGTTTCTTGTGGGGCAAATTATATATTTCAACAAAAACAAAATGAGGTGATTTGGGGGAAAATCATCCAGACTTCCCATTTCACTCCACATTCTATACCCAGGCATTCTATTTTCACCACACCCACGCACAATCATTCTCTCCTAACACAGCAGTTCCATTTTCATTGTCCACAATTTATGAACAAAACAAGAAATAAAAACTGTCCTCATGCATGTTCTCACATAGAACATTACATACATTACTGATTTGCTCTTGAGTTCTTTTTAATCTTTGCAGTTCGGGAGTGTCAGTAACAATGCTAAATCCTCTTCCCCGGTTCTTTTCGAAGTCTTCTTTGTATTTGGCCTGGAAGATAAAGCAAGTGTAATTTAAAGGAGCATATCAAAGTTAATAACTTAATTCATTCATTTCTGTCCCTCTTTTCTAACAGAAAATTTAGAATTATACTACAATGCAAAGAGGCCTTTCAGGCTCCTATGATCAGTTAAATCCTATTTCCCTGTTCTTTCCCCTTAGCCCTGTAAATTTTTTTCCCTCAAATGTTTATCCAATTACATTTTAAGACTTAGCACCTTTGCTTCCACCATCCTTTTGGCCACTGCATTCTAGATCATAACTGGCTGTGTTAAAAAAGTTTTCCTTATGTTGGCTTTTATTCTTTTTAACCAATTAAGTAAAGTCTGTGTTTTCTGATTACCCACCCTTTTCCACACTAAAACAATTTCTCCTCCTTCATTTTATCAAAAACATTGATCATCTGAATACCTCAATCAAATTTCCTCTTAAACACATATTGCTCTTAGGAGAACAGCTAGCTATTCCAATACCTCCACATAACTAAAGTTCCTGATCCCTGAAATACAATTGTAGTCATTTTTTTTCTGCACCTACTCTAAAGGCTGAACATCAGTCCTAAAGTACGGTGTCCAGAATTATTAATTGGTATTAATTCTGTATTAATAAACTGGTGTCCAGATGAGGTCTGGCCAATTTTTATAAAAGGTTTAGCATTGCTTTCTTGCTTTCATATTCCATTTGCCTCAACTTGTAAAGCCAAAGATTCCACAAGCATTTTAACTGCTTCCTCATGTTGTCTTGCCATGTTCAAGAATTTCTGAACATTCACCCCAGGCCTCTTTGTTTCTATACCTTTTTTAAAATTGCACTATGTATTTATATACTATTCTCCTCATTCTTCTTTCCAAAATGTAACTCTTCACTTGTATACTGTGTTAAATTTCAGCTGCCTGGACTATGACCCTAATCTTAACCCTATTTTACCAGTTGTCTATGCCCTCCCAAAGTCTCCTAACATCCATCCCATTATTACATTTCCACGTACAGTATCCCAAGTGCAAACATTGAAATCATGGCCTTGCATATCCAAGTCTAGTTCATTAATATATTTTAAAAAGAGAAGTGATCCCAACTCCAGCCTCTTCAAAAATTTCACATTCTTGCTGTCTTTGATCCAGTAGGCTTTCATTTTGCTAACAGGTCTATTATGTGTAACTTTATCAAATGTTTTCTACAAGTCCATACACACATCAAATATTTCAATGGCTTCATACAAAAAATATCTTGCAAATTGATCCTGAGGATAAATGTGTAGATTCATTTATACCCTATTGTCAGAGGGTTTTCATAATTTTCACAATTTACCTTCTTGCACCACTATTTGTTAAGCCCTTCCCAGATTTACACACAAAGAAAAGGTATCAAAATTGGAGGAACAGCAACTAATGTAGGTCAAGAAGGTTAGGCTTGGAGAACAATCTGCAAGCATTCTAGCTTGGGATAGCAGCTAAGCACAAGTCAGAATAGTGGTGAATTTCTTAGGTGCACTAGGGATCGTTTTCTACAGTAGTAAATCCTAGAATCAATAAGAGGGCACACACTATTCGATTTACTAATGGGTAATAAATCACATTTAGTTAGCACCTTAATGATGTGTAAACAAGAAACTAAAAGTGATCACAAGATGATCAAGTTCAGCACAAAGCTCATAAGGAAGAAATGCAATTTGCTGAAAAGCCTGATTATAATTCACTCAAAACCAATTCACTTAAACAGAGTTAACAATGGACCATATCAGGATTGTACATTTAGGTATGGCTGACATCAGTGGAATGAGACAGTGAGTGGGCGATCTGTTAATAAGTAAAATGACAGAATATCTGCAAGACCTTTTCAAAAACAATTTGTGATACAGATCCAGTTAATACTGCAAGAAACAAGAATTCTACTTGTCCTAAAATGTTAGCTATGTACAAGAGGTAAATCCTGGTGTCTGCGTGAGTTTCTGCTTGGTGCTCTAGCTTCCTCCCACAGTCCAAAATGTGCAGGTTGGGTGGATTGGCTTTGGTAAATTGCCCTATTGTGTCCAGGAATGTGCAGGCTGGATGGATTAGCCATGGTAAATGTGGGGCTACAGGGATAAGGTAGGGGAACTGGGTCTGGAAGGGCGAGTGCGGACTCAATGGACCAAATGGCCTCCTTCCGCACTGTAGGGACTCTATTCAATGAAAAGGGAGTATGAAAAGAAACAGATGTCGAAACAAAAGAAATGGTTGCATTAGGAAAAGGGGGATGATCTGGAGCAATGCAAATTGCTAACAGTGATATGTCAATGACGAAAAGGAAACGATGAAAATGCTGAAAAATTACTTTGCGCCAGTACAGGAAGACTGTTAAACATCCCAAGGATGCTAGTATTAAACGAGAACAGGGATTCAACAAAGTTAATATTAAGGAAAATAGCAGTAATGAAGAAATGAAAGGTTGAGGTCGAGGGTAGTTTACATCACGCAGCTTTAAAGGAAGTAGGCAAGAATATTACAATGCCCTAATTATAATCTTCCAAAGTTGTCTCAATTTGGGATCTGTTTGTTTAAATTGGAAAATTGAGCCTGTCAGTCTGCTACTTAAAAAGGGTAATAAAAGGGGAACTAGGGAATTATAGACCAATTATTTTGACATCTGCTGTCAGTAAATTATTCAAGTCTATAATTGAGGATAGGGTGACTGAACACTTTGAAATTCTTTAGCTGATCAGAG